GCTTGTTCAAACCGTAGTGTAAGCATGTTTTTGTTGTTGTTTGGTGGTCATTTGCATGCCCTCAACATGTTGAGTTCAGGGCCCCTGGGGCAGGCCAAGACTTGAACATTGGGGGTATACGGTATACCAGGATGTTTAACTTGTCCAATTCCAACCAATCAAGGCCAGGAAGGCAGCTGTCCTTGCAAAAAGGGCGCTTGTTGTTCAGGAACCTTCAGACCCTGCCCCACATCCCCTTCCATCTCTGGGGGAGAGCGGGTAACCTTCCGATGTGGGACATGGTGCTGAGAAGGCAGATCTTCGTGAACCTTCGGATGTGGGAATTGGTGATGGGAAAGCGGGTGCCACTATGGGTGAACCGTCCGATGTGGGAAATGGTGCTGGGCAGCCAGTTGAACTGGGAATTGGTAGTGGTGGTGGGAAACCGGGTGCCCCTGTGGTTGAACAGTCCTATGTGGGAAATGGTGCTGGGCAGTCAGTTGAACCTTCGGATGTGGGAAGTGGTGGCGCGCAGCCGGGTGCCCAACTGGCTGAACCTTCGGCTGTGGGAAATGGTGCTGAGCAGCCGGCGGGAAATGGTGCTGAGCAGCTCATTGATTTCCTGCATGGTGGAAGCAGTGAGGCGCGTCCAACCATTCTCATCGAGGACTCCCAACCGTTATCCCCAGAAATTCCTCCTGCTCAGCCTCAGCATTCTCCAGCTGGTTCTGTGGCTTCTCGACTACAAGATTTAACTTTACCAAGGGGTCCTCCAAAGTAGACCACATGACATACAACAAAGAATTAGACGTCACTAAAGGGCGTGCACAACGATCCTTGCGCACGCCCTCTGTGGCCTCTCAATTTGTCTTGGTTTGTCCACTCATAATGAATCTTTAGACAAAGGTCAAAGGGCTTGAAAGCAACCTCTTTGTGATGAGAACCTTTTGCAGTTAGATTTTTGTGAAATGGCTCAAGGACGCTGTTGAGCTATCTGGGTCAGGGCCACCGCCAAGGATCTGAGTAGTTCTTGATTCTTTACCCCGTTGACTGTTCACTACGTCACAAAAGAACCTGTTGAACGGCAGGACACTAAGCAAAATCAAATCAAACGGTTGCATGGTCCAGTTCGAAGGGTTAAACAGTGGGACACTAAGCAAACTGATTCAGATCCCAGGGTTGGTCCAGAGTCGGAACCTATGACAGTGATTGACCAGTTTCTTTAACTTTAACCCCAGCTGCTGCGGTCACGTTTTCTCAGGTGCCCAAGAACTTGGACGAAGCCTTTGCTGACACCGAGAAGGCGCAGGAATATTCGATTTGGAATACACTGTTTTCACTGTTCATAAGATTGAGGCGTTGCCTCAATGTTCTGGGGATCAGCCAGTTGACCTTCAATTGTTAGCACTGCAGCTTAAAAAAATACTTCCTGTCAGCCACCCCCATCGCGACCAACCTTCATGCCAGGACCACGCGGAGTTCCGGCCAGCTTCAAAGCTGCCTCCCATGGAGCTGAGCAAATCAGCCATTGACAAACGGATGCGCCGTGTAATGGCACCGCGTGCCGATGGCAGCTACCTAGTGCCCCAGGAGATCCGAGACCAGTACCGGGACCCCCTTGAACGCGACTCTGTTCGGGCGATGTTTGAGAAGTGTGGCTATGAGCCGGTGGGGTTCTTGAAAATGTTTCCCCTAGTTTTGTGATGAAAGAGGTGTTTGGGTGTTATGTGGACAAGCGCATGGAATGGATTTCAACAAATCAAACCCTGTCAGACTCAATTCGTACGAAGGGTGCGGAAGATCTACCAGCAGATCGATGAACAAAACCTGGAAACGCAATTCGAGTTCATGTCAGAACAAGATATGATTGACGCAGGGATCCCGGAGACACTTGTCCTTTGGTGCATCTGCTTTTGCTTTCTTTCCGTTCTATAGAGGCTTTCCGATCGCTTCCTTTTCAAACCCACCCGAATACATTCAGACCGGTCCAACTGAACCCTTGCAATACACAGAAATCCAGAGGGTGCAGGGGAAGGGTGTAGCCCCATTGCTATACAACGCATCCTTCAATATATTATGCTGGTGGGTGGGCTTCGCTCAGGAAGAGGCGCATGAACATCAAGAAGTACTGCGAGGGCCGACCATCATACATCAGGACTTGCGCTGCAACTATCGTTGTTTGAACAAAGGGCCTTTAACGCTACAAGCAACTGTGAGCTGGGGACCCGCTGGCGAGGAAATCGAAGTACGGGGAGGGCTTGCTTTATTGGACGGAGCGGAAGACCATTGGAACCATGAAGTGCCTCAGCTGTCACGGTTTTGTTTGCCACTTTAATTTACTCATTCATAGACCATGGTCATGCCCTCCACCTTGCCTGAATTCTCAGGCGCACTCGACGATCCATCCTGGAGGAGATGGCAGATGAGGAGCTGCCAGAGGGGCAAGAACCCAAAACCCTGAACATGGATATGGATTTCCCGTTTGATGGGTTGGATGGCTCTGGACCCTTAGATACGTTATGTGAGCTGACCTCTTTTTGGGCGGTGCCTCTTTTTTGTTTGGTGCGATGTTGACATGTGTAATTTGCAAGTACAAGTATCAGGAAACCAAGAAGGGCCTGCTTCTGACGATGAGTTTGATGTTGAAGCGATGGACGAAGAGCAAGAGTCGGTCATGAAGGTCATCAAGTTTCCGGAAATTGAGACCGTGAACAAAATCCCAGCAGCAGCTCCCAAGGTATCCAAATGTTTAACCAAGCGTTTGAAGGGTGTCACAGACCTTCTCGATAAGTTCAATGGTGCTTCGAAACTTGACCATTCCCAGACGGCGACACTCAATGACAAACTTCAGCAGCTCTTTCATGTCAACCTAAACTTCCCAAAACAAACAAGTATATACATCCTGGGGTCCTGGGGTTCCCTTTTTGAACAATGGTACTTAGTAGTGAGTGCAGAAAAACTGTGACCCAACCCGGCTGAGGTTGAAAACAAAGCTCACTGAGCTAGCCAAATCCCTTACTGAGAAAGACGACAGCATCATGACCACATACCGGTTGGGAGTGGCTGGCGGGTTCAACAAAGAGCTTCTTGTCACTAATACTTGCCGTTGGTCCCATTCACCACCAAATGCATCTCCCAAGCCTCCAAGGTCCATGAAGAAGCTGAGGGAGTCGTTCGACACTGCCAAGGACTTGCCACTGCCTCAAACACAAGTGTACCAAATTTTCGGCACAGCCCTTCAAAAAGCTTGCAATGGATCCTGCTTCTGAGGGCAGTGGAGGCTATTTGTTTGGAACGGCGTGCAAAGTCGGGTCCTTATACGACTTCTGCACGAAACAAGGTCCCAAATCCCAAACTCCTCAACAATGATTGACCACATTCCGATGCCAAGGTCCTGTCTCCCCGGCAAGACCACCGCTGAAGGAAAAGCCAAGGCTAAGACGGCCCCCAAAAGGCGACCGGCTCCTAAAAGGACTGCCGATGCCCCGGCGCCTTCGGCTAAGAAGAAGGCCAAGTAGGTTCGTCACCTTCGGTGTCAGTTTTGAGAAAGCTGTGCGGGAGCAGAGTGTTTGAGGGACTCGGCGTGCGCACAGCTGAAGGCTAGAGTACAAACGTTGCTTCACCAATAGAGTGAGTGTGAGCACCTAGGGAAAAAGCTTGCTATCCCTCAACTGTGAGGGCATTTTGTTCGCTGCTGGCTCATGAACATGCGGCCATCTTCCCCACCGACTCGCCTGAAGCCAGGCCAAGCAGTACACGAACACACACGTGAGGAGCACATGGCTGAGATGCTCGGGGAAGGAGCTTGAGACTTAGAGACTTATAGATATAATGTACCGTGCGAACACTTATTATACTGTAATTAGAACGTGCAGGTCTTGTTTCCTTAATATCAATACATTTCATTAGCCAAAATAACCAGCCAAGAGAAACCAAACCGACCGGCAAAAGGTTGCGCGTGCACTTTGCTGTTGTTTTTTGGGGCTTATTTCAAGAAACCCATTTATGACCAATGCAGTTTTGCTGCCACGTTCGGTAAACAAGAAGCTAGTGACCTTGATGTCTTTCAGCCTGAAAACTGTTTTGACAATACCAGTGTAATCCAGTGTACATGTTTGAGCCAGAGCTTGCTTTTTTTGGTGATGTGGTGGCAAGTGAAATCAAAACGTGGAAACACATCCCAAGTCTGTACTGTTCCGTTTCAGGTCACAGCTACCAATGTGAAGCGTGCTCTGCGGGTTGGCAAGCGGCATGTGGTCAATGCGGAGAGGGATTGCCACAATAAGTTTACAAAGCTCGGTTTTTCTTTACCTGTGCCCATTCAAACAGCGACACACGAGTGTGGCTCTCAAGTACTGACCATGAACTGGGTTAAGGTCTCGGATTGGTTGAAGTATCTCCTTGAGAAGCCCTCGGTGCTTGGTATGGTTACTGTTGGTTTGCGAGAGCAATGCAAAGAGTTTTGGCGATTGTACAGAGCTGTGCATCCATCGCACACTGTATTCTCAAGTCAAAAAGACCTCTCCTTTTGCTTGCCCCTTGTTTTGTACGGAGATGAGGGTCGAGGCCCCAAGCGAGCAAGTTTCCTCGACTTTTGCTTTGAAACACCCTTCGGATTGTTGGGGTCTTTCGAACCCACAGCAAAGGGGTGTTCTTGCGACAGTTTCGAGTGGCCCCAAAGTTTGATTTGCCCTGGGTTTGGACCGTTTGAGCGGGATTCTGACGTGGCAGCACGTTGCCCGCACAACCAGAAAGCCCACTCGTATCTCACTAGGCATCTGATTTTTGGTCTGGCCAGCTACCTGTACAAACAACACCCGCACATTGTGGAAACACATCTCCGCTTGGTCAGCGAAGACATGCGCGAGCTCTATGACACCGGAGTGCAAGTTGGTCAAGGTGACGAGAAAGAAACCTGGTGGGGTGTTCTGATTGGGATCAAGGGCGATCTAAAGTTTCAAGCTGAGGTCGTTGGTTGTTTCAACCGCAGTCACGCGACCCTTAAAGATCCTGGCTGGGGAATGTGTCCGTACTGCCTGGCCGGCTCTTTGCGCTGCAGCTTCGAAGAAATTGATCAGGACCCTAGCTGGACAGAGACACTGTTTGAAAGCCGTCCTTGGGACGCGGCCCCGGTCCTTACAACAGTTCCTTTCGATCAGGAGCGGCCGGAATTTGTCTTTAAGTTGGATTTATTCCACGTGATGAAGGTGGGTTTATCCCGGCATGTTGTTGGATCGCTGATCATCATTCTCTCCAAACTTGGCTACTTTGACCTTGATCCTCACGGTGCAGAATCTCATGATATCAATGACAGGCTTTCGAGAGCACATGGACTCTTCAAACTGTGGTGTGCTGGGGTAGGCAAATCGCCTGGCCTGCGCTCATTCACGAGAACATTCATGAACTGCAAGACATTCTCTTGCGCTCCCTGGGCCAACAGTAAGGGTTCGGACACCACTTTATTGGTTGCATGGCTGACTTTCTTTATCTCCCTCACTCTACAGGGTCTGACCCAGGATCATGGTGACAGGTTTTTCCTTAGCGTGGCCAAGACTGTTCTAGAGAACATCAAGGGTATGCATCAGGTGTGCGAGTCACATGGACTCTGGCTCGATCGCTCTTGTGGCCAGAATCTGTACGCGAGAATGATCCTTGTGGCTAAGGGGTACAATGTGCTCGCCAAGCAAGGCATTGATTTGGGGATAGTGACCGGGTTTGGATGTTGAAATTCAAAACCTTTTCTTTGCAGTTTTTGGGATTCTTTGGTCTTTATTCTGTTTTGTCTTTTGGTGTGTGTTTGTTGACTTTCTTACACCCTCTAGTTTGCAAGGTCTCCTTCAGTATGATTCCGAAGTACCACGCATTGAAGCATGTAGCGTTTCAGATCCGTTCGCAGCTACGTCGAGGTTGTCCACGGATCTTGAATCCACAGATCGATTGTTGCGAGTCCAATGAGGATCACGTAGGCAAGGTTGCGGCCTTGTCCCGGCGTGTCTCCACCAGGTTGCTCACTCGGAGGGTAATTCAGAGATACTTTCTGAAGACCCGTGCGTTGATCGTCAGACATGTCAAGTCGCATGGAGCTGGATTCCGATGAGTGGAGGCTGAAAGCGCATCGGTCGGTGGGACTGGCAGGGGTTGGGAAGGTTGAGTTTATAGGACGGTGGAGTGGAGACCATTGTTCTGATCACTCTAAGGCAAAACCCCTTCTCATTCGAGAAAACTTGGTTACTACATGAATCACACGATTTTACACAATCTCTGAATCCGCGGAAATTCCCAAATCCGCGGGAGTTTACTCATTCCGCGTATTTCCCCGGAATCCGCAGAAACTTCCATCAACTTGGAAGATGACAGAAATTTCCATCGAAAGAGTTCCTAGGTATAGCAGATCGCAGTTACGAATCCCACCCACACTCGACCATGACACGAGGACACCGGCCACAAACAGACAACTTGCGGCGTGATGCAGCGAAGCTCGCTTGAACCTGGACAAGTGAAAGGAAGAAAGCGGGCGTGCAACTTGCGCAAAACAAAACACTCTAGCTAGCGACGCCAGCAGGATCCACAAGGCCCGAATTAAACCAATGACGCGCAGACTACGCCGTGCGCCGCGAAGGAGGCTGAACGCCCGAGCGTTTGGGACACTGCTGCCCCCCACCTGCGAAACACTCGCGCGCGTTCTTCACTGATTGGCGTGGTCATGTGTTAGACGAAGTGGACAAGAAGTTTCTTTAAGATACTTTCATGGAGCTTGGTTGGGATTTTGTTGTTTTTGAGTTCATCATATCACAGCGACGGAAGCACGCAACGCAAGCAACCAGGCGCCCCAACATAACCACATCAAACTTAACCAAACGCCCGGAGAAGTGCTGCTTAAAGCGCAAAGCCCCGCGCAGACCGCAAAGAGGAGTTAAATTGTGTTTCGACGTCCGGTTTTGCGGGACCACACGCGTCGGTCCGTATTGGTCGGCGACCATTGCTGCTTGCCCCCCTGCGCTGTCGCCTTCTTGGTCCACCCTTTGTCCGCGTAACTGTCCGAAAGAGAGTGGAAGAGCGCCGGGCCCGTTGAAGGCACGCATTGATTACCTCACCCCCTGTCGCCGAGTGCGTCCACACGCGATTTGGCAATTTGGCTAAGTGTTTTCCAGCGAGTTCTTTCTGTTTGCGACGTTTTCTGCCTGCCTCGCGCAAAGAACAGGTACCTCATCGACCATGTTGTTGCAGATGTCCAGTGGACACGCCCCCACACACCCCCAAAACATGTGGGCACAGCGCTGCGCACCCAGGATGTCATCGTTGAGATGGACGGCTTTTACCACACTGTTTGTGGAATTTCCGGTCTAGTGCGTTTGGAATCTTGAGCGCGCAGTTCCTTGCTATGAAACCTTGTGTGGGAGAACTTTTGAACTTTTGCCAAGCCACCCCGTCACCCACAAAACTACGCGAACGCACGACGTTCTTCGACCAAGACCATGCAAAATTGCGCGTTTTTAGTTTGGCGCACGTTTGTACTTTGCACCGCCTACCTCCGTTTACCACCGCAGCGGCGCAGCAACGCCCCGTTTTGCAGCAAACCAACCTGCTCATAAGCGACGGCCTCATTCACTGGTTGCTTCTTCCCAGGGGTGCTGTGACAACTCGTCCATTAGGCCACAGCCTCCTTGATTGGCCCATAATCGCGAAACTGATGTTGCAAGGCCAGACAGGCGGAGTGCTGCGCAGGACGGACTGGTAAAGCCGCAGGGTGTCAGCTCCGCGCCTGTCTTGGGACCACACGTCGCGCGCGCCTGATTCCATGCTCCCTCTGCAGTGGGCGCGGCGCATGTTCGCAAGCGGTTTTTGCTTAGCAAGGTGCCGCGCAAGGTTCATTAAGTTGAAAACTAAAAGGCCTAGCACACAAGAAGTGCGATACATAATTACGCCGCGCTGGTAGTTTCCATC